TTACACTCTGACCAAACCATTTTCTCATCTTGGATGTGTGTTATTTTTGTCCATGATTGGATAGAAAAAAAAACTACAAATACTCCAAGATTTTTTGACTTCATTAAAAAACAAAATCGTTTTTGTAGGATGGAAACTTTTTGAGGTCAACTCACCACCCCCCACCCCACCCCCAAACTAAAGCAAATACGTTTTTTATCCGACATCGATCTTTTGCCGTCGTCCCTAAATAGATATAATGATTTTGAGGAGGGGACTGTACAATAGAATATTTAGTAAGCCTCTGAGGATCCAACATAGACGTATTTGTCTTGCCCCAGTTTGGATTTGCATCTACGCCCTTTATCTGCTAACAACTGAATAATGTGATTTTATTAGTTCTAGTTTCATCGGTGACAACGTTGTGGTACGAGTATGTTTGACGAATTACTCAATATTGATTGGCGTGGCTTCATACAACCATCACATGGACACCGACACTATAAATAAGAATAATATGAGATTATTACGAGGATACCAAAAAGTATGCACGAAGACAGTACAATACGAGTATCGACCGAGACGCGGCGGACTGCCATCATCAGGGCCATCATAGTGTTTGTTTTTATTATTAGACGACGCTTACGCGCGTAATCGTTCCATATTTGGAATTCGCATTTCCTTATATTGTAGGATAAAAATACCCAATGCAATACTGCAAAATTACAGAAGTATAATAATAAAAAACTAACTGTGATAAACTATATTTGTTGGTTCTTGTTCTGTTGATACCATGTCATGCACAGGAAGAATATTGATCGATTCATTTCCAGTAACTAGCATCAGGAATTGCAGATATTGACCAGTTTCACTGTTGTATTAAACGAAATAATCAAATTGTGAAAACATATTTCTATTCACACATTTAAAAGTGTCTCTAAGAATGTGTATTTAGCTTGTGGGAAAACTAAGACAAAATGTCTCACAAGCGACTTGTAAGCCCCCGCATCGGTGTTTCTGTATCTGTGTATCGAACACAAATTTCAAAATTTGTATAATTTTGCACCAAATATTCCAACACTTATCGCCGATTGTTCGTTACTTTTATGTGTAATTTATGTTTGTTCTATAAACTTGTGGTTTGGGCAAATACTATTATACGTATATGCAACTCTGTTCGAGTGTGCGCAGTGTGTTGGGCTTACAACTACATTGCCCTTATTGTACTAGTATATATGTATTGTACGTTATCTGGGGCATACCGAGATGGAGGTATTCCACTTCATTCAAACGACCTACATCTATGTACAATGTCACCGTGATCAAAAGGTTAAAATATGAACTTTGCAAAATATTTCACGAATTACAGTGGCGCGGATTGTTTCTTACTTGGCGTGACACGGTATAAAGATGACGGTTTCCATGGCGGATCAGAAGAAATCAATGCGCGTACTTCTTACGTGTAAACAGCAAGCTAATTAATTTAGAACTGGGTCGGCATCCTTGTTTCCAGTCTGATGCTGTCCCAGATGATTAATGAAACAAATCAAAACAAATCATAAGATTCAGTATGGTGGTGGTAGGAAAAAAAATCTTTTAAAATTTGAAACTGTTTAAGAAATCCTGTAAATAACCACATAAATAATTTACGCAATTATAGACAAGTTGTTGGATATTATTTAAAGATAGTCCCTAATCCAATTCAAATAGATCAGTCATTATGAAATTAGGGATAAGCATACTTATATTACAGACTTGAAGACGTTAACAGACTTGACAAAGAACGCCGGTGCCAAATATGTGAAAACATTTTGAAGACTAACCGCATCTCGTATTCCAGTGCAAAGTTTATTATTACTATCGAAGTGCAACTTTTCCACCAAAAAAATCACATAATTTGAAATCGCTGATTTATATAATTTAGTAAACTTTTTAATTCGGCTTGCAAAATATATTGACTACTTCACAAACATCGTAGGAGTTTTCTACCAGCCGGGTAGCTTCCATTGAGCAGGAATATAGAAGCATGTCGCCGTATGTCACCGGTGGAGTCTATAGAAAAAGGCGCCTACTTTTTCAGTCGTCAGTCTCGGAAAGAGTCTGCAGTGAGCACATGCAGATAATAATCTCTGGAAATCAACACAAACAGCGTTCTTCAAGCATAACAATTGCTATTTCTGGTGTGAAAAATCAACAAAAGGCCGCTTTCAAGCTTTAAAAGTCGACATTTCGGCGAGGGAAATGGTCCGTACGGAAATACACAATAAATGATAATCTAGTGTCAGAAGAGATACACGTGTTCAGTTTGGGAAAGGATGGATTTGTGGATGTACTGGCGGCACATTCCTACCATATTGCCAGGGTAGTACCCACACCCTGGGCCAGACCCCATTCCGCCGAGACCTCCCCGACATAAACATATTCCTACATATTTACATCATTTCGAATACCCTGTCGCAGACAAATGGCTTTTACTGGAATTGGGTGTTAATATCAACGATTTTGGAATCTCATCGGATCGTGTAATAGGAGTTCAACAACGGACGTGTATTCCCGTCCCCTACATGGAGATTTAAAATTCAAGTTTAACATGCGTCCATCAAAGTTTGTCGAATAAAACCATCAGCTGGAATCCCACTTAACTGTTGAGTATGTTATGTTATGGAATAATAAATAAGTACTTTGTTAAAGTTCGCTTCTCAGCATGACATATGGTTTTGAAAACTCATAACACCCCCCCCCCCCCCTTATTCCTACTACAGTACTTGAAACCATATAAGCCTAGATCTCATTGGCATGCGTAACGGAACAGCCTTCTGTGTTCGCATGATATATGTATAGACTGTTGATTGAGTCAAGGGGCAAACTCGGTAATTGGAAATATCCCGCATAGCATACACTACCAGGCCTATGTGAAGCAACTTTCCGTCGTTTTGCTGTCATCAGAAGAGTTCATTGTTGTCGAGTAACTTAAGACATTGTGGTTCGGTGTCAACAGATTGACAAGGTAGGAATGGTTCTCATTTTTGGCATGCCTCTCCGTCTTTCTGCACACCTCATTTCACTCAGTTATTCCGCCATGGCTTCATGCATCTGACATTTCAGTATAGTTCATCTTGCGTACTGAAGCCACCCATAAACGGTTACACGTTTGCCACGTAGGTAGAGTTTTTTTTTACAAAGTGGTTCCATTCGCAGCTGCTCGTCCAGGTAGGTGAAGACGTTGTCGCTATAATACAATTTTCTTGATAGTTTGATTTCTTCCCTCGACTTCCGTTTCTTACAATGTTTAGAGATTTATTGTATCAGTTTAACTTGCCTTTACAAACCATAATAATCCGACTCGATGCAAAGACTGGCTCTCGTCCAACACGTATACATATCGAGCAAGTCTGCACGACGGCGGGTCGAAGGTTGTGGTCGTTTATTCGCAGTTCGTAATCTATGATATTTTTATAGAGAAAAAAAAAACTTACTATGCTTAGTTATGCAACAGTGTGCGTTAATTTAACAGGGAATCAATAGTTCCTGAATCAATTTTAACAAATACAATTGTTTGCCTGCATCCAACATCCAACGTAAGCCAGTTGTCATCACACGGTAGGTCAACACGACAACTACGCAGTATGTTTAGAGCAAATTTTACGTTTTCACGATTCTCGGGGTAATCTTGATAAAAAGAACAGAAAACAAGATTGCTGTATGTCTAATAGTGAATAGTACGTAATGATCGCAATTCATACTCGCTGTACTTCAGTTGTTTTAATGGTGACATTTGTTACGTAGTAACGTGTGTTTCTTGCCGGGAATAGATCGTTTCGTCATGGTATGTGCCGGACACTGTCAGCTCCCGGCGTTTAAAACAAACATTTAAAGAACGTAAAACCAACGTGGTGAGAATACATCTACGCGTATACGATGTTAGCAGTATGTTTAAAGGTAGTGCCATAATGCCAACAGTTTACGAATTACGAAAAATCACACTTGGTCACGTGACTTTGACGTCGTGCGCTTTCTTCATTACACATCTAGATCGACCAGCTGTGCGTGTTGTACAGGTTGAAACCTCGAATGTCTTTATTACGAGAATCAATAATTACAAGTATTTGACGTCCAATTTGTATATGGTCCTTGATATTTAGTTTAAAAGATCCTAAATTGTGCACAGTATCATATTTGTTACATATGCACTTCACAGCAATTATTTGAAAATATATTTTGGTAGTACTAGTAGATTTCTTTACCGAACAATAGATTCGACAATTATTATTATAAATTGCCGCCAAATATATAAATACAAATGAAATTCAAAGTAACACAAAGAATGGCAACAAGTCAATTCAAAATAGTCGATGTCAAGAGATTTTCTGAAAAATTACTATGACATTTTTTAGGATAGTAATGTACTTCTAACGTATGAAACATTTGACTCGAATGCACAACTAGCCCATCAAAAACTCTTCGAATTACTTACTATCATTAAAAGTACGTGCAAATGCGCTCTTTTTTAAATTGGCACTCCTATTGACACTGACACTCATCCCATTCGGGTCGATATTTACCGGCTCAAATAACCCAAAATACAGTCATGAACGCTGGTTATATAATAGCATAAATTTGGATATTGGTTCTAATTTGCATATCGCTTAGACCTACAGATCGAAGTAAATTGTATACTAAGAGGCAGCGATCGGGGTGAGGGTTTACTAATACCCCCCGCGGTTCATTGAACTATAATAGTTGTTGATTACACGTATATCACATTCCCAGTTGTTTAGTATATTTCTGTATTGGCAATACAGTGTACAAGGTGTTGTATTTATCCAACAAACCTGAAGGAGGTACACAAAACCCGTGTGTATGGGGTAATTTACGCCGACTGTTTTGATAGACGCGCTCAGGTTCAACACATTCTCTCCGCAGGGATTTCGCTTTGCCATACTAGTTTGACTCACCGGGCTTCTCTTGTTGCTTCAATTTCGAAGTGGAACAGTAACATGGAGTTGGTGTGTAGACCAGCCCCGTGGCTCGCGACGATAGCGATGGTCGTTATTTGGACTTTATCTTCAAATACGAATGGGCAAAGCATTGGAAATGACGAGGATTTAAAGATACAGTTGAGATTAATGGATGGCAGATCGATTTATGAAGGGCGTGTTGAAATATTTGTAAATGATGAGATGGGAACGATATGCGATGACTACTTCACACTCACAACGGCTAATGTCATCTGTAAAGATCTTGGGTTTGCTGGAGCTGAGTCTTTTTACTATGGTGGGCATTTTAACCCAGGAACAGGTGAGTTTCGATTTATCTCATTGGCTTCGATGAAAAGTAAGTCTGTACAGCTTTAAATATTTTTCATTTTCATTATGTGATATATCCATTTCGTACGAGCGAGCCATGTTATATATTCAGTGAATGTAACCCGTTCGTTAGTACACCGCCGTCGACATTGCCTACTCAAGACACGCCACGTATTATATACGCACACTGTTCCGCAGCTGAGATGAATATTTCAATTGTAACACCCGTCGTCTCACGGCATGAAGCGTTCTCCATATTATATTAGCGATGTTCTTTAGGTATACTCGATTATTGCATGTGGTTCATCATTGTATGTTTCCAAAATAACGGATATTTTTACTCGGTAAGAACTTATCTATTTGAGAATTACGTTTAATATAAATCCAAATGTACATTAAGTTAAATATGTTTTTAATTTTTTCCTGTAATCAAATCAAACCTATACGCACTAAGTCATAGTGTAGCGATTATTTAGTTATGAATATTTTACTGACTATAACAAATCTAGCTATAAAACGAGGATGAACAACGACGGCGGATTCCGTGATGTACCCGGATGAAATCAGTGGATGGTCAATTTTTCAAATTACGATGTCTCTTTGAATTACTGCAAAAGTTAGTTTCGGAGTAATGGCCTAGCTACTTCCACGGCAATAATGATCTATTCCCGGGGTCGCCTTGTATACCACGTATTGGGCATGATACAACGTAGTGACATGGTTTAGTCACAGTATATGTGAAATTTTAAGTAAAAGAACTCCCATACTTCTCTTATATTGCAATCTATTGCATCGAATAACCACTTTGTTCAGTCACCCAGGTGTTAAATGAGAGTTTCGAGAGCGACTATTTCCGGTGTTTATTGTACGCGTCTTAAGAGCCCCGCATAGAGTTAGATCTTAAAGTAGGCGGGCTTCACTTGTTACATTCATAAAATAAAAAGGGGTGAAAATAAAGAAACGTTCGATTGAGAGAGTGTTTCGGTGGGTGAGCACAGTCTGCACGAAGTGTTGATTGAATCTTCTCTTGTTTACGAGTGTGAAAATTGCCCCCCACCCCGAGACTGTTCAAGTATTGGCGTTGTTATGGAAGCGTACTAGGGTCGCCGCGAGGCCTCATGGTCTAACAGGCTTGACTTTCAGGTCAAACTCGAAATCTCAGCGCTCTCGTGGGAACTAAATTGGACGTATGTGTGAATTCTCATAAAGATATGTCCTCTATGACCCCCAGACGTTGGTCTGCCCTTGTGTTAACTCACGCGTATCACAAAGATGTACTAATTAAATATATCATGGTCATCAAATAAAACTAGTTACGGAATACTTAGCGATTTAGCAAAGGGCCACTGTATATGCAACGGTAACATCAGTTGGCAGTTCGCAACCGCTGTACAAAACTTGTTAACAGAATATTATTAGTTTACTCTCACTAGTACTTGCATTATCAAGGGTGAAAATGCGAATCCGCTGTATTCAGATTACTGTAAGAGTATGTGTTCACACAGCTAGCAGCATTCCATGGTGTTGTTAAATTAAATTCCTGAAACACGCTATGCACAGAACTTGTACTATTAATTCTTTATAGTTTACACTTTGCTCAGAACCTTTTTTTTCACTTACAGCTTACAGTTAATGTATCTTCTTTTCTTGTTTTTAACACTGATGAAATAAATTCACTTTTTCCTCAACTCGTGCCCCTGGTGGCGAAGCGTCTATGTGATACAAACGATATAAAATAGCCACTCAAATTGTTGTTATCCGTTAGTAAAAAAAAAAAAAAAAAAACGTTTTTAAGAGATTTTCTACTAGTACGCTCTAAATAACGAACGACTACACAATCAAGTACAGTTGTTTCTTTTGAATGTTTCTGATTTCTCCCATCTACGTATTTTGACGTCACAGTAGCCTGTGTCGCTAGAAGGCGCGACTTTTAAGAAAGGGCAGTAATCGTCGTGGAATCGAAACCTTGCCTACTTCGCCATTTCGCTAGCGATAGTTTCGGCTTTACATTTGATTGTACTGTTTTTAAACGCGCGTGGATTCATGGAGATTCGCGTCCGAGTCTGTTATGAATTATTGCGGAACAGTGTAATTCGAAACAGGTAGCATACTTGTGATTTCTCGTCGTTTGTTCACAATACGTACAAATTTGGACCATTAAATATTTCACATAATAATTCCGACACCTCTGATAAAACTCTATAAATGCGCTTTAATTGATTTTATGTTCGTCGAACAGAACTCCCGCGTGCGATTCGATGACTTCATGACCACCTAAAATGTGGAAAACTCAATCACGAATTTCGACGGAAATGTTCGGTAATTTTCGGCTACTTGCAAGAAAATTCTGACGTGGATATCTTGCTATTACCGTAACCGATGCACTTAATATATTGCACATATCACTTGCAAGACTTCAAATTATGGCGACAATACAATTATAAAGGCACAAATTGTCTAAAATCAGGAATTTGCAATAACAACCGAAAACAAATATTGGTAATTTTGTGAACAACTGTAAACAATGTGATATCTACTATTATGTCGTCACTGATGGTCGACGAGGTATTTAAGTGAACGCTTGAAGCAATCATCGTTTTTAATTTCGCTGTTTATATAAAGCTATGTCTCAAATGACTCTCGTTGCACTTCATGTCCTTTTCAACTTGTTCTACATTCAGAGACAAGGTAAACAACATCCGGCAAGCACAACTCACTTTTCGCATGACAGTGTAATTCTAAGCGATATTTACTTTGTAGATCCACTTTACACCTATTTTGTACTGTTTCGAGTGTTCACGGCGTGACGGTAGGGATATATAAATCAATCAGTACTATCCTCGTGTGAGGGCGTCAGCTGGTAAGGTAATTACGGTAAATGGGGCGTGGAAGCCGAGAGTGCGAAGTGAAACGAAATGAATGGACTGTAGGTGTCGCGGACTTGGTGGTCCAGCTTATAAATTACACACGTGTAAAATAATGTCAAACGTCAATCTAGAAAAATTTAATTAAAAACACATCTACAATGTATCTATTTCAAGGTAAACAGTAGTTTTTTGTAATATTATTGTTTGATGTTAGTTAGAAATTATGCCATCTTTGCTGAATTTTAAGAAATTGTATAGACAGTTTAACTTTGAAACAAAATCCCACAAACTGAATAAAGTTTAATGTCGACATATGTAAACCACATTGACGTTAAATTCATGCAATCATTTGCAAAAATTAGTACTTTTTTGGGCTGCATTGCGTT